GTGTGAGTGAGTGTGTGAGTGTGTGTGTGTGTGTGTGTGTGTGTGTGAGTGTGAGTGAGTGAGTGTGTGAGTGTGAGTGAGTGAGTGTGTGTGTGATTGAGTGAGTGTGTGTTTCTTCAAGAAACGACTAAACGACTCTTTTTGTGTGTGTGTGTGTGTATAACATATATAAATATACACCTTGCTACGTGTACTGCGTTAGGCTAACCGAGACTTGTCATGTGCACTTATATATTGTTGCTCTTTTGTTAGTTTTGACTGCTTTTATTGTCCTCATTTCTAAGTCGCTTTGGATAAAAGCGTCTGCTAAATGACTAAATGTAAATGTGTGTGTGTGTGTGCAGGACACACCCTCATTTACTTCCTCTTTTCATTCAGTTCCCTCTTTAATGCTGCAGCTGCCACCCGTCTGTCCTCCTCACACACACACACACACACAGACTGAGTGGATGAGTTCACAGGTCAAAGGTCACACACAGTCATGATGTTTGCTGTTAATGATTGACAGGTGTCAGTCCCCCTTACTGCAGTCTGTTTGGACTCATGAGAGCGCGAGACCGAGTGTGGCTTCCACCCAATCACATCCTCAAGCTCGAGGCCTCGGCCAATGAGACGCTGCTGTTCAGGATCAGGTGCGTCGTCATGAGGATCAGCTTCAGAACTGATGCACGCTGGGATTGGCAGCCTAATCTTAATCCTCTCCGTCTGCAGGTTTTATTTTCCAGGCTGGTACGGCAGCGGCTCGAGCTCGGCCCGCAGGTACGGCGTCTCCAAGAGTTCAGAGGCACCTGTGCTCGATGACATCACTGCGGCGTACCTGTTTGCTCAGGTGAGGAGGAGCATCGAGAGCCATGAGACTGATGTTTACAGATGATCATGTGTCTGATATCTGACACGCTGAACAGGGTCAAAAATATTTCATCATTGGGTTGTTTTTTTCCACATTGATAGCGGAGTCTTAGACAATACAACAATAACTGTACTGTGAATATTGTTAGAATAATTAGAGATGCACCGATTGCCGTTTTTTGTAAGTGTGACCTGCTGATACCGATTTTGCTGATTCCACTGTCTAAGAACTATAATTGACAGCATATTCAAACAAAAATCTACTTTTTTAATGCAAAAATGTATTTACATAATAAAAGAAATGAGTAAACATTACAATTCCCAGATGTTCTCTCACTTAAACAACAACAAAGTAAAGTGCTCTGTGACTGGAAAGAGCTAGAAATGAGTTGCTGTATAAAACAAAACATCATTTCCCACTGTGTTTATAAATGGCCATTTTTTCCCTATCCTTAGTAAATATGTCATCTCATATAAATGTACACATCACAGAACTATGGCCCATGTTAAACATCTCCACTAGTTCAGGGTCAAGGTTAGGGTCCTTTAGGGTCAGGGTTCAGCGGGACACAACTATGAATCTTGTTTTTCTCAGTCCAGATTGCTGACGAAGTGTGATTTCAGCATGAGCAGCAACACTTTTCACTGTCACACAGTATTTATTGTGCAAATCTCCATATGAGAGAACAGCGTCTTATCCTGTCTGTCTGTGTCTCAGTGGAGGTCAGATTTTCTGAGCGGCGCGGTCAGCGTTCCCATCAGCCTGGAATTTCAGGAAGAGTGCTTGGGATTGGCTGTTCTTGATATGATGTGTTTGGCCAAAGAAAAAGCCAAGTCACCTGTTGACATCTACAACCACAACAGGTGCGTTCACCCGAGACCTTTGACCTATCGCTGCCCGAAGAGGCTGAACTGAACTCTGGTCATCTCCTCTGTGTTCATTTGCAGTTATAAGTCGTTCCTCCCGAAGAACATGCGAGCACACATCCAGAACCAGCACTTTGTGACCCGGAAGAGGATCCGCTTCCGCTTCAGGAAGTTCATCCAGCAGTTCGGAGCGTGTAAAGCCACGCCGCGAGACCTGAAGCTGAAGTACGTGGTCAGTCTGGAGACGCTGCAGGCGGCCTTCTACAGCGAGCAGTTCCTCGTCAGCGAAGCGTCCGCCGGAGACGTCTGCATCCTCGTCAGCGGGAGCCGCGGCATGCGATGGTCCAAAGTAAAAGAGGCCAGAGACCGAGAGGTGCGTTTGAGTTCGGCTTCCTGGTGTTTGATCTTTTGGCAGACACACCTGCACCAGATGTAAAAGTTCAAGCTCAGTTCAAGCTCACTGACTCACAAGTGCACACTTGTGAATCTTCTAATTACTACCAGCAGACTGAGATACTAACGAGAGCGACTCTGACTGTCTTTCTTTCTCCCTGTTCAGGATCCGCAGGTTTACTGTGATTTCTCTGACGTCATCGACATCAGTGTAAAGCAGGGGTCTAAAGACGGATCTGTGGAGAACCGAATCGTCTCCATAAACAGACGGGACGGTCAGACGCTGGTGAGGTTCGGTCGCACTACAGCGTTACAGTCCGTGCTCGGCTCAGATCCGTGTCTGCAGCGTCTCTCTCTGTGTCCCGCAGGAGCTGGAGTTTCATTCTCTGAGCGAGGCGCTGTCCTTCGTGTCTAATGAACTGTTTTCTCGGGTCAGGACGGAGTTCGCCATCAGCCGCTTGCGCCGATGTGAAAACCACAGGGGCGTTTATATCCTGAGGTGCAGCCCGAAGGATTACGACCGGTACTTCCTGTCCTTCGTCGTTGAGGTGAGTGTGTTTATGTGAATTATATCACAGGCCAGAGTTGATCTCGATCAATCCACAGCAGTAATTAACTCTCTTTACACAATAAAGTGTAAAGTGTGTGTTTTATTGATTGTCTGTGTGTGTGTGTGTGTGTGTGTGTGTGTGTTTCAGTTTGAGGGTCAGCTGGAGTTTAAGCACTGTCTGGTCGTTCGCTCTCACTCGGGAGAGTTTGTGCTCAACGGAGCCAAATGCAGCTTCAGCAGTCTGTGTGAATTACTGCAGCACTACCAGAAGGAGGCGCTGCGCTCCGACAGACACGTGTTCCAGTTCAGCCGCCGCTGTCCGCCGCGCAGCAAAGGTCAGACACTCGGAGCAGATGCTCCTGCTGTTAGTGCACCAAGTTGATTTCATTAACGAAAACTATGACGAAAATGTTTTGTTGACGAGCTTCTTTCCCATGACTGAAACAAGACGATGACGAGATGACAATAAGGTCAATAAACGATAACTGTGACTATATCAACATGCAGTATCGTTGACAATAAAAGACAAAACTAAAATGTATTTAAAAAAAATAAAAACTTGATTTTCGTCAAAAAATAAGCTATTATTGCGGACTGCTGTACACGCCTCTGCTACACAAGCTTTCATGTGTGCGGTTGTCAGATATCAAGAGTTTAAATCCCCAAATCAGAGCAGGATACCTTTTCTGCCCGCTGTTTTGCTTAATGTTTGCAATCTGGCAACTTTTCATCACGGAAGTGCTGACGATGATCTGAACAGGACAAGGTTGACTAAATAAGATAATAACTAAAAAGTACATCTGACACTAGGACTAAGACTAATTTAAAAGACTGGCTGGCAAAAGGAACACTAGCACAAAGTGACATGTATTTGTGTCTGTAGATAAATCCAATCTGCTGGTGTGCAGGAGCAGCCAAACCTCTGACGCGTGTCTCTCGCCGTCTGAACTCAGACACGTCAACCAGATGATCTTCCACAAGATCCATAAAGAAGATCTGGAGACGGTGAGTCTGAACACACACACACACACACACACACACACACACACTCACTCACTCACACACACACAGAAGTCTGTAAGCGTCTGTGTGTCTTTCAGACATCATGGTGCAGGAGTATGTGCGCTTCGGCTCTCTGGACACGTACCTGAAACGAAACCGCAACACCATCAACATCACCTGGAAGCTGGAGGTGGCTAAGCAGCTAGCGTGGGTGCTACATCACCTGGTGAGCGTCACAGAATCCCGGCACCAGACTAATGAGAGGCCGTGATAATCACTGCATGTTTCTGATCCGCAGGAGGAGAAGAACCTGATCCACGGAAACGTCTGCGCCAGGAACGTTCTGGTGACCCGAGAAGAAGACCGTAAGACGGGAACGCCTCCGTTCATCAAGCTCAGTGACCCAGGGATCAGCATCACCGTCCAGCCCAGAGAACGTGAGCGAAGCCGTATTCGTGTGGTTTAGAAAACACTTCCAGTCTGAATATCCAGTTAACAGCGCAGAACTCGAGAGCTGACAGGAGTTGTTGTCTTGTGCTCTTCTGTCTGTAGTTCTGGTGGACCGGATCCCGTGGGTTCCTCCAGAGTGCGTGAAGGACAGCAAGAGCCTGAGTTTGGCAGCAGATAAGTGGAGCTTCGGCACCACGCTGTGGGAGATCTACTGCAGCGGAGAACATCCGCTCGCGGCGTACGACGGGTCTAAGGTGCAGCGGCCCCTCCGCGCTTCTGTCTGCGCTGCGTGCCGCTGACTCTAACTGATGCTCTTGTGTGTCGTGCAGAAGCTGCTGTTCTACGAAGACAAGCACCAGCTTCCAGCTCCGAAGTGGACTGAACTGGCCAGCGTGATCAACAGCTGCATGGAGTACGAGCCGCTGCAGCGGCCCTCGTTCAGAGCCGTCATCCGAGACCTCAACAGCCTCTTCACGCCAGGTGACGCTCACCACACGCACCGCCGCGCAAACACCATGATACTCCAGCGCTCGCGTGACGCCTGTGTCTCTGTGTTTCTCAGACTACGAGCTGCTGGTGGAGAGCGACACGGTTCCCAGCAGGCATCGGGCGCTGGGTCTCGCCGGAGCGTTCGAGAGCCAGGAACCCACTCAGTTTGAGGCCAGACACCTGATCTTCCTCCAGCTGCTGGGGAAGGTGAGCCACCATCATCATCATCATCAGCGTTAGTGTTTCAGACGTCACTCCGTCTGTGTGTGTCTGCAGGGGAACTTCGGCAGCGTGGAGAAGTGCCGCTACGATCCGCTGCAGGACAACACGGGCGAAGTTGTCGCGGTCAAGAAGCTGCAGCACAGCACGGCTGAACACCTGCGAGACTTCGAGCGGGAGATCGAGATCCTGCGCTCGCTGCAGCACGAGAACATCGTCAGATACAAGGGAGTGTGTTACAGCGCAGGTGAGCGTCTGTCTGCACTAGAGCATGCTGGTCCTGAGACACGCCTCTCTCCTGATTCTCTCTCTGTCTGTCTTCAGGTCGTAGGAACCTGCGGCTGGTCATGGAGTTTTTGCCGTTTGGTAGTTTGAGAGATTATCTGTCAAAAAACAAGGAGCGCTTCGACCACACGAAGCTTCTGCTGTACACCTCTCAGATCTGTAAGGTACGGAAAACACCTGTTTCACACACACATGAAGATTCGTGAGGAACAGCCTGCTGAAGAGCTGAGCGTGACGTGTTTCTGTCTGTGTTTGTTTAGGGCATGGATTACCTGGCGTCCAAGCGCTACGTCCATCGAGATCTGGCCACCAGGAACATTCTGGTGGAGAGTGAGTTCCGTGTGAAGATCGGAGACTTCGGCCTGACTAAAGTTCTTCCTCAGGATAAGGAGTATTACACCGTCCGCGAGCCGGGCGAGAGCCCCATCTTCTGGTGAGGAGATCCGCAAACGTTTGGCTGAAGCTGTGAGACGAGTGACCAAGGACTGTGTTATATTTCACCCCAAAATCAAGAGACGAGCAAGCAATGATATTCTGCATAATGAAAATGAAGCCTTTTTACATGGGACTGTGAAAACATTTCACAATAGTTTCGGGTGAAATGTGACCCGGTTCTTACAAGATTCACTCGCAGCAGGGCTCCAGACTCGACCACCGCGTGCCCAACTCATAAACGCGGCCATTTCTGTTGCACACGAGAAACATCAAACGGCAAACGCAACAAAAGCGTAACGAAAACCGCGCTTCCCAACTCGGGCTCCGTGCTTGTGCAGAAACAAACGAGTAATATTATTAGTAAGTGCATTTATTAATGTTAAACTATAGTAATTTCAAGATTAAACTAGATAAAAAAAGTTTGTCAAGACTTGAGAAAGCCTAGCCTGAAAGTGTAAAGCAGTTGTAAAAGTCTGAAGTTTGAAAATGTAGGTAGATTAGATGTTGATAACATGTTTCTAGCATGATTAGCATGTTGTTAACATGATTAGCAAGTGACTAGCATGTTGTTAGCATGTTTCTGATGTAAACGCAGACGGGGCTTTCCTGATAACGTTCAGCGATGCCGCCCTCTTTATTTTACTAACTTACAGCATGCTGAAGGTGACCCCGCTGACCTCACCAGAAAAAACTCAACACCACCATCTAGTGGACTATGTTAAAAAATATATTTTATTATTCTACCAAATAGTATAATAAAAGCTCGATACTTGGCGTCTGTGTATCGATACAGTATTGCAGCAGAAAATATTGCAATACTATGCTGTATCGATTTTTCCCCCAGCCCTATTAATAGCATGTTGCTAGCATGTTTCTAGCATGATTAACTTGTCGCTAGGATAGATAGATAGATAGATAGATAAGAAATATTAGAGTGGAAGCTTGAATGAGTTTAAATGGATTGGAAATAGTACACAGAAGGGAAGCTTGATTGAGTCTAATGGGCTTCAGTGTGTTTACATTAGAATGTTGACAGCTGCAGTTTGAGAAGTCTTGGCTCATCTGAACATTCCGTCAATGTAAGTCTATGGGATTTTTATGATTTTTAATCTTAATTTTTATGAAAACCATAAGTCGGAGCAGTTTGAAAAGATAAAGCAACCCGGGTCAGATCAGTCTGAAGAGCAGGGCTGAGTTTGGTGGGTCTAGCTTGAAAGCTCTAGGAGGAGTAGCGTTTAGAAATTCAGTCTAATAAAAAGCTTAAGTAGCAGATCAGTAGGTTGGCTTGAGGATTATCTTTATTTTTAATACCCCCCAGTGCTACCAAATCTGCTTCTGGTGCGCTGCTCTCAGATGTGAGTCCGGAGCCCTGAATCATGCTCATATGTTGATTTCTGAGTTTGATGCAGCGTTATTGATGTGTTTTATGTTAATGATGATGATGTGTGTTGATGAAGGTACGCGCCGGAGTCTCTGACTGAGAGCAAGTTCAGCGTGGCGTCAGACGTCTGGAGTTTCGGAGTCGTTCTCTACGAACTCTTTACATACAGTGACAAAAGCTGCAGTCCTCCAGCTGTAAGTGACCAAGCATCTTCACTGTGTGTCGCTTATTTTCATATCATAGCGTTCAAGTTACCAGAAAGCAACCGTAATCGATGGACAGTCCCAGTAATCACATTAACAGCTTCTGCACTATATAAGACCCAGTGACACACAACTATGACTGCAGTAATAATAAGAACGGTCAAACCGTGACAGTAATGCGTGGTGTTTGTGTGTCAGGTGTTTATGGAGCAGATGGGGGAGGACAAGCAGGGCCAGATGATCGTTTATCACCTGATCGATCTGCTGAAGCGCAGCTACCGCCTGCCGGCTCCTGACGGCTGTCCTGCCGAGGTGAAGACCGCGAGACCGTGAGCGAATCATGCAGAGAGCGCAGAGAGTGACCCGTCTGTGTGTGT